GACATCCATAATGCAGAAACTTTTGTGGGTGAACGTTTTGGTCCTTTAGCATACATCTTAGCTGAAAATTAACCCAAAACTATTTTGATAATCAATTTGTTCAAGTCATTTTTAAAGGTGCTCTACCTCATTTCTTTTCAGCCTCTAGATCAGAGGTGCCTAATACGTCGATCGCAAAGGTAGTGTTGGTAGATCGCGTGCCATTCAAAAATAAATTAGATGTATCCAGCGAAAAACACATGCCAAATGTTAACATGCGAATGGTCAGTGTGACGATTGGCTGTGGCGATCCCTAACTGGAAAAGCAGAAAGTGACAATTATTCATATATAACCTATCATCCATCCTCCCTATGGCATTTGCTACTTGATTGACATGCAGGGCAGCCAGTCTGAGATCTTGTCTTTTCTGACACACGAGTCACCAACCGCACGAGCTACTGCAAAACTGCAGTGAGCTAACTACCTTGTCAGCCTTCAAATTAATGTCTACTAAAGGGTATAAAATGAGTGGGGGAGCTGAATCAAGTAAGAAACTGAAAATATTCCATGCGGAATGGGAGGAGTACTTTTTTTTCCACGACGTTATATTCGAAGTGTGTTTGCTTGATCTACCAATCTACCATCACTATTCAGAAGAAGGGAAATGTGGAGTGGCACTTTCAGACTGTTCATAAAAACTATGACACTCATTCATACATTTTTGTGTGTGGGTGTGTGTGTAGTATTTTTAGTGTAGCTCGATCATTTTGACTTGGTCATTTGAAAAGTACTGTAGCTTGCAAGGAGAAAAGGTGTGGGCACCCCTGCTCTAGAGGGTCTAGTGGGACTCGCCACACTGTACCGCTCTTGCCCTTTCTGTCCTAATTCTTAGCCTGAAGGCCAGATGCCTTGTTGCTGAAGCTAGCGTTAGCTGGCTAACAGTAAATGTGTCTGAGTGCTTTGGCTGCTTTTAACCCTCTCCATGTCAAACAGCCAAACCCATGTTAACCCTGGTTGTTGCTCTTTCTTTGTCCCTCTCTCTCTGTGCAAGAGACGCCACCTCTTCTCTCTGGCAGCTGCTGGTTCAGATTTTTAGCTGCCCACAGCTCCTCCATGGCTGTTTGACATGACTTCTGGCGGCTGGAAAAACCCTTCTTATAGTTAAAGTACCTGAACACTTCCTCCACCACTGTGCTTCTGGCTCCGCCCCTTTCCGCTCCAGACTAAACCTTTTCCCAAGCAGAGGGTCATGTCACTTCTTTTTTTGAACTGTTACTTTTAAAGTTACTTTTAAAGATAAAGTCACCTACAGAGTATTAATCTTGTTGTAGGCTTCCCCTCATAATCTGCCTTTTGTGGTGTGAAAACGGTGTGTACTTATTATAGAATGACCTGGATGTGCCAGACGTTGTCGTGGGCCGTGCTCTGTTGTCTCCCTCTCTGTGGCTACAGTAGCAGCTTATGCAGGTCCTCACAGCACTGGGAGGAGAGGTACCACAGTTTGAACTGACAGGCTGATTTCAGAGCGCTTTGTGATTGAGAGAGAGACAGAGGGAGGACCAAGGATATAAAAAGAAGTGTGATGAAACATTCATGATGCTGTGCAGGAAAATTGGATTACTGCTGCAGCTAATAGCAGCAGGAAGTGGAACACAAGCACAAAAATCAAATTTAAACACAAATCCAGAAAGTTTGGAGTTTTATAAACTGAAAACGTGTTTCAGGTCTGTTTTTTTCTGTTTGTTTTAAAAATGCTCTCAGAGGTTTTATTATCGACCACACAACTGAATGAATCTCGCAAAGGACCATAAATACCTTCAGCTGAACTTCTGATTTAACACCATCATCGGGAATAGATGTTTGCATTTGTCCTGTATTGTGGTTTATTACTTGTTATGTGCCTTAGCTTTGTGTTAGAGCTGATTAGCCACTGTTAGCATGCTGAGCTAAGGCGGTGAACATGGGAGCATGTTAACACCTGCAGCACAGCCTTGTCTCCATGAGCTTGGTTGTGTGCTGCCATCTCACAGATTGGCTGCCTTTGAATGGAGACACTGGTGTGGCTGCACAGGCTTTATGAGCCTGTTTAGGTACAGGTGTACTGATGTGTCATGGGATTTGCAGTACACAGTTGTAGTTCCTGGGGAGCAGTACAAATAAAGAAACAAGGTATTTTGAAGCAGTAACTGAACAAGTCATTCTGTAGGTCTAGTAGTAAAAGTACTCCAACACATTTCACGTCGGACTTTTGGACCCTGTCCTTTGCAGGAAAGCAAAGGTTGAGAACAAAGTTGGAACATTTGAGGTGAAATTCTCAGCAGACATCCAGACACATGTCAGTTTTATGACAATGTATTTAAATATTTGTCCATAATACATTTTCAATGAGAGAAGAGAAATGGAGGAAGAGGCTGAATGTCAGAGGTAGGTCAACAGCAAGATGACAAATGTGTTGCTGTTGAAACTTGGTGAATCCCTGTATTCCACCCAGCAAGTCTAAAACCTGCACAGAGTTCTGTTTATCGACATCTTTTAAAAGTTTATTTTACTGACAATCAGCTTCTCCTCTGTGATCGTAAACCCTCCACCACCTTAGTGTTCACATTGTGCTTCCTGTCATGGCCACAACATTTGAAATCAGCTTTGATTTGTAAAACGTCTGATTTATGATGATGTTCATGCTGCCGCTGTTGATCACCATGTGACTTCCTGAGCTGTTGGACGGTAGTGTCTTCCTGTCTGCTTATTATTACCAGCATTTTCTAATCTCTTTGTTGTTTTCATTTTACCTTTTGCTGTGCTTGTTATGCCGAGTCCATTAGCTGAGAGCATTTTATGAATCGGCCTGATGGAGCAGGCTGCAGGCCCTGCTCAGCCACAAAGGGAAACGAGCCAGATGTTTGAATGACAAACTGAGAGGTTCTTCATCTCCTCCTCCTCCTCCTCCCCAGCCTCCATTTGTCATGACTTCTTTGCATCTTTGTTTCCTCCATTGGCCCCATTTTATCTGCATCTGTCTTTAATGATCTTTTTCTTCCTCCTTCTGTGTCATCGTTGCTTTTCATTTCCTTCCTCTTTTCCTCTTCTTTCCTCTTTGTTTGCTTCATTGCTCCTTGGCCTTTCTTAAAGGTCCTTTCCTCCTTACTTCTATCTGTCCTTCCCTTCTTTCTCTCCTCCCTCCTGCCTGCAGTTCCCTCGGTGTCACCTTCAGACCACTCTCAGCCTGTTTCCCCATCACTCCTCCACCATGTTCTTGCGAGGCTTGTCGTATTTAACCACTGCATGTAAATCTGATCCATCACACTTTATTGCTTCCGTCTTAAATCCTAAATGAGCTGTAGACACAGAGATAGACAGAGAAGAAGAATGAGTTTATTGGGCAGCGCTGTAACTTCCCAAGGTCGATTTTGTAGTTTCCTCACATCAGAGGGGCTGCCAGCTGTAACGAGGCCTGAGCACATCAAGAAAAAGAGCTGAAATTTAAACCAATCATTGTGTTCACCTCAGCAGCTTCTGCCAGAAAATACTGCAGTGTTTCCAATTTGTCTGTTCTAATGTACCTCCTCACCTGGAGTTTCTTATTCTAGATGGCAGCCGCCGGACTCGGTGGTTGTCCAGGCCTGCAGCCGAGACAAAGTGCTGTTTGTGTTTGAGAGTCCTCAGGTCCAGTCCAGGCAGATTTCTAACACCCACATTTAGATTGTAAACCAGGTACTGTCATAGCTGTGTGTTTGAGCCGGTCTGCTGCACAACAGAAAATACAATGCACTTTACAAAGAGAGGGTTCTTTATGCTCCAGTCTGCACTTCAGCTTTAGCTCAAGCTTCTTATTTGACTTGTTATTCCTTTATTTTACTGTTTCATTTGTGGTTTTTTCCATACACAATAAATATACAGAGGCAAGACAGTCAGAACCATTTGGAGTCATCAGGTCTTCTGTATGATTTGGTAACAAAATGTGACCCAGTCTTCATCTAAGTCAAATGTGAGGCAAACCCAGTGTGTCGAAGCTAACACCACACAAACAGTTAGGATCGTTCATGTCTTTGTTGAACAGCCCCTTAAACATTCAGAGTGCTGGTGGGACCTGTGGATTTACTAGCAGCTTGAAGCTCCTTTGGCAGCATTAACCTCACCCCGGCTCTTCCTGTAGCTGTGGATCAGACCTGACGTTGGTGTGAGCGGCCATCCGAGCTCAGGCCACAGCATCTGTGTTGGGTCGAGGTCTGGGCTCTGACTGGGACGCTCCACATAGCACATGCTCTTGTTTGAAACCATTACTCTGTTTTCAGGTTGTCCATCCGGCATGTTCTCGTACACATGACATCTCAGGGAATTTCTTCAGATTTGGTGCAAATGTCCACATGGACTCAAGGACGAACCGGTCAGATGTTGATTGTCAAAGGTCACAGTGACCTCACGTCAGTCCAATGAATTGGACTGGTTGGCAGAGGTATACAGATGCAAAGTAGTAATCCTATTTTGTTCAACATCTCAGGGCTGTCGCAGCCTACCTGTTAACTTGGAAAACACTTGAGTGTAATGCATCTGATCTGGTCATCAGAGCTGTGTTAGTGAAGCAAGTTGTCGCTGCCCACCTGTTCAGGTGTTTGTGTGGTGGCGACCCCTCAGATCAGACTGGCCAAGTCTGCACAGCCTGTTCACTGTGGTTCTACTAGAGTAGCGACTGCACTCGTTGTTTCAGATTGCATCCACACAAGTTGGTGTTTGTTTTTACGCTGCTGCCTTGAGCTTTGTTTTGATCTCATCCGCACTAATTTGTCCTTTTTCTGTTTCCACCCTTGTGTTTTTTTTATTCTGTCCCACGTCTGGTGGTGTTTGGGTTTTTGTGTTTAAACTTGGTGTTTGTGGTTGTTTACTTTCCTAAACCCCACAGAGGGATTTGTGCACACATCAGTTGTTTATATGTTCTGTCTTTTTTTTATGGCTTATTTTTGTTTTTCCCTTCTAAATGGATTGAATCAAGTCCTCTGTGTGTGTGTGTGTGTGTGTGTTACAGGACGTATGCACTGCAGCGGGTGCGTGATGTTTTCAGGGCCAACAGGAAGGTGGAGGATCCAAAAACAGTGGAGAGCCTGATGGAGGAGGGACAGCAGACACTGGCACTGATACAGAGACAGGTGACCATACACACACACAGTTTAACCAGGTTGACTAGTATGCAGATGAACACCTGTTTACTGACTGACCACCTGTCGTATACACACACACACCTGTGTGGCAACTGCAGGCTAATCACCTCACTGTATGTCACTTTGTTCCCATAATGCACCAGCAGCCTGTCAGCCAATCCCAGTGGAGGATTGTCACCTTCTCTGTTTACCACTGTTTCATCTCAGCGCACACAGCCGAACACGTGTGTGTGTGTGTGTGTGTGTGTGTGTGTGTGTGTGTGTGTGTGTGTGTAACAGTGTGGGTGTGTAAATGCATCACATACAGTGGGCAGTGGTGGGAGGGGTGTGTAGGTGAACTTGGACGCACACATACATAAACGTCCTGCCCACACACTGAATCCTGCATTCAGCAGCAGCCAGACGTCAGCTCTCCTCCGTTGCAGATGGACGTCTGTGAGCTGGAGCCAGTCGTGGTAACGCTGAACAGGAAAGCAGCAGTAAATCAACAAGAAACCTAACATGAAGCAAAACATAAAGTAAAATAGTAAAATTAAAAAATAATCAAACACACAGTCACAACCAATAAAGCCAAAAATTTATTTATGTAATCCTAAACTCATAAACGCTATAAAAGAAGTACATGGATTAGTCAATATGTAAACATCAGATGTCTGTCTGGGGCTTAGCGCTGCTTCTACTTCATAAACAGTCAGACCCCAGACTGGACAGAGAGAGTAATGTCCTGACGGCTCCAGGAAGTGAAGCCACCGCCCCCTGGTGGCTGGTTGCAGTATAGGTCATAAATCCTGCTCCCTTTGTGTTGGTGGATGGAACATGAGCTGCACTAAAAACTCAAAGTACAAGTCAGATTCATTTTTCCCAGAGGCCACTTCTGTGGTTTTTGGGAGATATTATCACACTGATGTGTGAACAAGTGGTCGTTTTTATGGTAAGCTTGTCTTTAATCAGTTATTTGATGATGCTATATAAAGGAGTGTATTTGACATGATTGACAGCTTTGATTGGCGGTCACTGGACTGCTCGGTCACTACTGCGCAGAATCCGGTTGCAAAATGCATCACAAAAGCAAAATGCCCGCCTCTGTATTGACAGTATTTTGGCTTCACTTTTGCATAGCGGAGTGAAGTGGTGACGCGTCGTCCATCTGTATATACGGCCTTTGGTAGAGACACAGAGGCGACAGCTGAAAGCATCACTTCTGTTTGTTGAACAGCTGTTTTGATGAATTGGCTGGTTTTACTGCACGCTGTGGTTGACAGTAGTTACGAGCTGTGTTCTGTAATCTATATTATTGTCTTTGTGCACTTGTACTAGTGTGGGTGCATCAGTGTGTGTACACATAAAAAGTTTAATTTATACTTGAATGTGTCTGTTCTTAACTGCGTGTGTGTGTTTTAGTGCATATTTCTGTGTGTCTGTGCCTTTGTAAGTTAGTTAGGGAGTAAAGATGATGGATTACAGCTGCAGTGCTGCCTCTCTCAGTGGAGGAGACACTAAACCAGCATGCTTCTGTTTTTTAATGAGAGTGTGTGTTTGGTTGGAGAAAGGGAGTTGTGAGAGTGAGAGGCCTGGGATCAGATGTGAGAGAGTGAACGAATGTAACGCAGCAGGGAAGGAGGAGTGAAATGAGCTGGACCGTGTGTGACTGGTCAAGGCGGCCGCTCTGTCCATCTGCAGCTGGATCTACTCTGCTCATGCACGTACACAGAGCTGCTCTCTTTGTAGGACTTGTTAATGTTATGGCTTCACTTTATCACCTCGTGTGTGTGTGGGTGAGTGGTGGCCTCTGAACAGCCATGTTTCACAGATTACTGCTGCTTAATGTCGCTGCAGTGTCACACAGCCTTAGGCCATTTTGGCTCAATTGAGATTAAATGCCACATCAGGCAGTGAGTTATACCTGCCAGGTTGAGGGAAAGCGGCCCCCACTATGGCTCCCAGGGGCCAGACGGAATCTCAGTCACTCAAATCTGTACAGAGGCTTTTTTTTTTTTGTCCAGCGTTTAGATGAAATGGCTCTAAGGCCAGCACCTGCTGATACAAACTGAGCACAGATGTCTGTTTGTGCTGCTGAACTGTAAACAGCTCTAGCATTTAAAGCATTTCCATTGTTAATATAAGAGCTCACACTATCTTAAGATGTGTTTGAAGTCAAAGTTTGTGTTTTGCTCATGGTCATTATGAAGCTGTGGCTGCTGCTTGACATATCGAGGCCTCAGCCGCTAATCCTGTAATGGACACTGAAAAAAAAACCAAAACACAAAATAGTTGTTGAACCTGTATTAATCATGTTAATGTGGGAAAAGATGGAGTTTTCCTTTAACATTTTTGAATTGCAGCTTTTGGTTCAGCAGAAAATTAAAACACAGAGTGGGAGAAATAAATCCTTCATTTCAGATGGGGAATACTGACAAAATACTGCGTTCATGTTTGGAGTTCATTTACAGACGCTGTGGTGCAGAAAAAAGAGGACCACCATCTTAATAAGAGGAAAGTGAAGTCCCTGGTGCTGTGGCTTCTCTGCAGACGTTCAGATCAGGCTTTGTCAGTTAATAATCAGAGAAACAGGGTTTTAAAGAACAGCTTTGTGTTTCAAAGCTGGGGGGGCATTACAACTGCATGGGACTGTACTGTACATCTTGTACATGTGTATTCAGAGGCGAAATTAAGTTAAAAAAGGAGAATTTTTGTGATTTATATCTTTTCCTCTGTGTTTCCTGTGATCAGATGGATATATATTAACTGAAACTGGATTATTACTTCACAACGACATTTTCTCTGCCTGATCAAATGTGTCCGGATCTGACTGAATTATGACCCTGAAGAGTTTTGACCTAAGCTGAGGGAACCAAGGCTTTTCAGGAATGTGCAGTAGCTGTGTTGCTGAGCCCTGTTCTTTCACACTCCGCAGTGTCTGTGTGTCACGTCTCTCCCTCCGTGATGCAGTTCATAGTCTGTGTCACAATTCAAAGTCATCATTTACTGAGGACAGTTCTCTTATGGATGTGCTGTGGCTTAGTTGTCAGGTTTGAATCAATGTTTGGCTTTACTGACATGTGTAATGGTGCAAGTCCCTAAAATCAGGGTCACTGACAGCATGTCAGTCAGTGAGGAATGGTTTTTCTGCTACAGCCCCAGACTGTGTGATGCTTCAATAAGAAGCTGCTTAAATGAGTATTTTCATTTCATACCGTCTTAAATAACTGCAAGTGCAAGCAAAGAGCGGATCAGTGACATGTTTCTGAAGCAGGAGAGGCTGTGCAGTCCTCCTCTGACGCAGCTGCATCTCTTCAGCTCATTTTGGGGAAACAGAAGATCTTAGGAAAGATGAGCTGGACAGAAGCTGAGTTAGAAAGTAGGGCATCACCCTGTGTGAAAGCCTGCGTCACCTCATCGCCTCCTCCTCCTCCTCACCTTGCTCTTCCCTCTTTCCTCCCCACTTCACGCTCATCTATTTTCTCCCCGTTTTCCTCTCCTTCAGTCTTTCAATCTGTGAAAATCCCCAGCCTTCCTGTAGAAATCCCACACCTTTATTGCTGCTGTGCACCTGAGTGCCCCAGCTAGCACACACACACTGTACCAATCCATAGTGAGTCTAGAAGGAGAAAATTGAGCTGTTCAAGTGGATAAAAGCCTTGCCCCCTGCTCCTCCTCTGCCCCACTTCATAAAACATAATACTGAGGCAGCAAGAGAAGCTGCGAGTCCGACTCTGGTTCACAGCAGGACGAGGTGTTAATTAGAGCTGGGACCAGAGTCGATATCTACCACCATCACCACTGTAATCAGGAGCAGTTTTGTTTCTACATGAAGAACATAAAAATCCGCAACGTCCATCGAAAACCTGAAGAAGAGAGACTCATCTTTTGCTCCTTCATCACCAGCCTCGCAAACTAGGTATTGATATTTTAGTATTGATTTCTTACTATTGATGGCCTCAAAATTTCAAAGAGTTGAACCCCGCTGCCCTCAGAAGCACAGCTGCTCAGCACAGCTTTTATCAACAGCACAAAAATCACAGGTCAGGTTTTTGGGGCTGTGAATCCAGCCATGCAGCAGCACGGTGTAGTGTCGCAGTATTACAACAGTAACACGCTATTTGACCTTCACTCTGATCGAATGACCTGAACAAACAAGATAGAAAGGCAGTGACAGAAACGTGCTTGGTTTGAATGAGGAACTTTAATACAGTAAAATGACACTTGTGAACATGTGGTAACGCTTCAGTCGTAGCCAGTACAGTGACGTTGGACTGGATCCATGGATCTGAGGGTATGCTGCATTTCGTTCTTCTTCTGTGGCTTTATTTCTAGTACTTTGCTTGTTTGTTATTTTAATCTTGGAAATCAGGTTTGACGCAATGATGATAGCTCATCCTCCTCCTCCTCCTTCACACACACCCCCTACATGATGAAATTCATTGACTGCAGAAGGCAACGTGATGCTAGGAGAGCTGTTAGAGATGAGGAGGGAGGAGGGTGATGGAAATAAATGAGAGAGGATCAGAAAGCAGAGGTGGATGGAAATTCAGTTTCTGATCTGGTGCCTCTGTGGTAAAGGTTTGGTTTGGTTCAGGCAGTTAAAAGTACTCTGCTGAGGTCAGGGAGAGTTTGTGGTCACGGTTAAAAGAAGATGGGATGTTAAGAGCTCTGAGACAACAGAACAACATCCCAGGTCTCCTCAGCTGTTTTTTGCTATATGCCATAGGGCGGGGTATAATATTTGTGAAGACGAGTGTCGGTGTGGCTGAGCAGGAAGTCTGAAGACTTATAAGGCCCTCATTTTTCTGTTAGTGAGTCACTTACTGCTGATGTAGACCACGTTTTCTCAGTTCCTCTCTCCTCACATCCTACGTGGGCGGGGCTAAGACACAAGAAAACGATCCAAGTGTGGGAAACATGGGTGCAACTAAGGGGCTTGAGACTGACCCCAGGAGTCATGCCAGCAGCTCTGAGAGGCTGGATGTAGGCACAGCAGCGCTGTGGGC